CGAAGCCCTTCGTCGGACACACCAACGGGGATAACGGTTTGGAGATTCAAACTCAACAAACACAGCAAGCTTAAGCTCGAAAATGGCAAGCTTAAGCTCGAAAATAGTCTATTCGGATTATGTATCTATTCAGATTATGTAATACATCTGATCAAGGAATAATTGTCTATTCGGATTATGTACAATCGTTGCACAGAAACCGGTTAGATCTAGGAGCTCTACGAGTAAAGCACTTGTCAAGACCTCGATCGTACGTGCCATGGGTCATGCCAAAGGTGGGTGTGCCGTATTATCTTGGTGAGGCAAGATGGAGAAATGATGGTTCTCATAGCTTGAAAGTAGATGCTTGATCTAAGTGTGGTTTCGAAAATCCCTTGTTTATGTAATGCTAAGTGTGTACCTCCCATTATTAGAGCGCCTGTCAAGGCATCGATCATCCGTAACACGGGTCATGCCAAAGTTGAGCGTGCCGGATTATCTTTGTGAGGCAGGGTGGGAAATCGTGGTTCCCACAGCTTGAATATGGTTTACCTTAGGTTAAGTCGTCAGGTTTGACTTGAGACTTAATGGTACAGATGAGACGAGTATGCAATGATATTCGATATCATAGTCTCATAAAGGATCTAAGAGACACATTGGATGTGATCGACATTAGATGTCTACCTAAATAGTATAAGGATGGGTGTAACAATCCATACTTATGTGAAATATGGATCTTAGTCCCATATAGAAAATTATTATAGGGTTATTTTTCTGTATGGGAATATAGCTCATCTTTGCATCTATGTTGTCATTGTTTGATGATGGACTAGCTGGTAGTGGATCATAGATAGATTGACACTGATAGATCATTGATAGAATCTGCATGTAGATGTGTTTTCGTTCTATTTTGTCTTTTTCTGTAGAACATAGCGTCGACCGGTATTATACCGAAGTTGACGATGCGATCTGTCCTTTTGAAGGATAAATCTCTTACCACGGCTTCTAGATCAATCATTGATGCTTATTGGAAGCATATGAATGATGATCCGGACAAGTCTAGCTTGATGTTTGGAAACGTGACTTCGAAATTGTGTAAGCAATTAGAGGACATGGACGATTCTTTGATAGTTGATCAGTAGAATGCGTCATTCTAAAAGAAGGCTAAGAGCCACGGCAAGAGTGATATAGTAATTGTTGGAAAGAGTTCAACGAAAGGAAGCGTTCCAAGAGCAAGGGCAAGAGGAAAGTGACAAGCGTTGTCATTGAACCTAAGCCTAAGTCCAAAAGGGAAGAGAGTTAATTTCTGTCATGCCGTTGGGCATTGGTACAGAAATTGTAGACTCTACCTGGAAGATCAGGAGAAGAAGAAGCTTAAAGAAGCATCCACTTCTGGTGTCTTCGTTATAGAGGCTTTTGTTTACTTCTACATCGTGGGGTATTGGATACCGGAAGTGCCTCGCACATTTATGGTAATGTGCAAGGGCAGCGAGGAAGTAGACAACTGGCCAAAAGGAGAAGTAGATCTCCACGTTGGGAATGGAGCAAAGGTTGCTGCATTAGCCATAGGGAGTTACGATCTAACTTTACCTTCTGGACATGTATGTTGCATGATTGCTATTATGTTCCTGCCGTCAGCAAGAACATTATGTCGATTTCATGCTTAGACTCGGACGGTTTCAGATTTGTTATAGAGAACAAAGGTTTGTCCATTTATAGAGGAGATTTATTATATGGTAAAGGTTACCAGTTTAATGGCCTTTATGTTTTGGATGAATCCATCTATAACGTGAGTGCTAAACGGTTTAAGCCGAACGACTTAAACCCGACCTTTCTCTGGTATTGTCGTCTAGGCCATATAAACGAGAAGCACATATAGAAGCTTCATTCTGAAGGTCTTCTGGATTCTTTTGACTTTGAGTCTCTTGAATCTTGCGATTCTTGTTTGATGGGCAAGATGACAAAGCATCCTTTCAAGGGGAAAGGACAGAGAGCGTCAGAGTTATTGGATCTGATACATAGTGATGTATGCGGACCAATGAGCTGTCCGGCTAGAGGAGGTTATCTGTATTTCGTTACGTTCACTGATGATTTCAGTCGATACGGTTATGTCTATTTGATGAGACATAAGTCTGAAACACTTGAAATGTTCAAGGCTTTCAGAAACGAAGTACAAAACCAGCTTTGCAAGACGATCAAGACACTTCGATCCGATCGTGGTGGTGAGTATATGAGCCAAGAGTTCACTGACTATCTGGTTGATTGTGGTATTGTATCACAATTAACTCCTCCTGAAACGCTACAGTGGAACGGCGTGTCTGAACGGAGGAACCGAACACTGTTAGACATGGTTCGGTCAATGATGAGTCAGACAGATCTTCCGAAGTCCTTTTGGGGCTATGCTTTAGAGACTGCTACGTACCTGCTTAACAGGAGTCCAACGAAGTCGGCTGGAGCGACGCCATATGAGATATGGACGGGGAAGAGTCCCGCGTTATCGTTTGTCAGAATTTGGGGTTGCGACACTTACGTGAAGCGTCAGATGACTGATAAGTTATCCTCCAAATCTGATAAGTGTTT